GATGCTTTTGAGAATATATAGCTAAGTGCTGAAGAAACCTGGTACAGCTTTTCACAAACTCTTACCAAAAGCTGAACGATCACTATTTTTTCTAAACTTTTTCTAAAGCCAGAGCTAGAGCAATGTATTTGAAAATAATGTCTTGCATTTAAATGAAGAAAAACAATATGTAAATTTCAATGCCTATGGAGGCTAGAGATTTGTAAAGTACTGAGACTATGCTGCTGTCTATTATTCAAATGGTCCACATCCTACCCTAGATCCCATCCTGTAACAAAAACTAGGGAAAAAAACATTGCTAAAACAGTTTTACCTGATTATATATTGAAAACTATATTAATCAAATATGCTGCACTCACTGTTAGATATGGCTCACCTGAACTTTCCCTGAGCAGCTATACTTTAATGTGAACCTAATGTATAGTTTTTTCTCTGGCATGTCAGTTATGTGAGAAGCCTTTTCTCAGTATCAGTCATTGCAGAACTTCAAGGAGCAATTTGAAGCCTATTTCATTACACTTTTATTTTCTGCCTCAGTTGTACACTCATTCTGTGCAGAAGTCCTCACAGCACTTGCAATAATGAGCAATGAGATGGATGCACAGGGAAAAAAAAGCCAGTTTTTATTGGTAATTTGAGACTGGAAAACTGCTACATTTTCAGGAGATCACTAGCAGTCCTTGCCTCCCACAAGATGAGAAATAACAGTCAGCCTGTTAAGAGTGCGTCGTTAATTCATGGAATGTTTCACTATGCATCACTTCAGCAGCAAATTCAAGTGTCTCATATCCAGTCCATAAGAAACAAATTTAACGACCTGGGGGTCCTGGTGGACAGCAGGATGACCATGAGCCAGCAATGTGCCCTCGTGGCCAAGAAGGCCAACGGCATCCTGGGGTGTATTAGAAGGGGAGTAGCTAGTAGGTCAAGGGGGTCCCTCCTGCCCCTCTACTCTGCCCTGGTGAGGCCACATCTGGAATATTGTGTCCAGTTCTGGGCCCCTCAGCTCAAGAGAGACAGGGAACTGCTTGAGAGAGTCCAGCGCAGAGCCACAGAGATGATGGAGGGAGTAGAACATCTCCCTTATGAGGAAAAGCTGAAGGAGCTGGGTCTCTTTAGTTTCAAGAAGATGCTGAGGGGTGATCTCATAAATGTTTATAAATATGTCAAGGGGGAGTGTCAGGAGGACGGAGCCAGGCTCTTTTCAGCAGCGTCCAATGACAGGACAAGGGGCAATGGGTACAAGCTGGAACATAGAAGGTTCCACAAAAATATTAGGAAAAACTTTTTCACTGTGAGGGTGACAGAGCACAGTAACAGGCTGCCCAGGGAGGTTGTGGAGTCTCCTTCTCTGGAGACATTCAAAACCTGCCTGGACGTGTTCCTGTGTGACCTACTGTAGGTGATCCTGCTCTGGCAGGGAGGCTGTACTAGATGGTCTTTTGAGGTCCCTCATTCTGTGATTCTGTCATTCTGTGATTCTGTGATATGTCCATTCTTTCAGAAACATTTTGCGATTTATAAAGAAATATTTTTAAAGTTTAATACAAGTTGATTTTTATTTGTTTTTGTAGAACCATAGCTTCCAGAATCTGTTATTTAAACAGAGTATTGTTTGTACTCTAAAATGCAAATTAAAAATACTGTGTCAAGAATTATATAGCCAAACTGTGATCACAAACAGGTTACCTGAAGTACACAAAATTTTCCAGGCATTTCAGTCCACAGTACAGTTCCAAAAACATGCCAGGAGCACAGAAGTTGTTGCTGGGAAAGATTCAGTCAGCAGTGGATTTTTTACTTTTCTGTATCAGGATAGCTAGCCTAGCAGATTGCTACAGGCCTTTCTTATAACCTTGGTCCTTCTGTTAATATAAACTACATCTGTTCTATGAGGATTTACCAGTGTAATACTATCTGCAAAGTGTTCATTATGTGGACTCAGAATAGGGAGTCCCTTGTTTTTCTTCTTTTTCTCATAGCTGCTCTTGTTCTTCCTAGCGATCCCCTGATATGTTTTACCTAATGAGTTGTAAAATCTAATCAGTTGCAATAATTAAAATATGTTGTGTGTGAAAGGATGCACAACTTTACATAACAAAGAAACCAAAATGTTTTGCCATATTTTTTTCACCAAGAACAGACTCAGGCTTATAGATGATATGTACAAAATACTAAAAATTCCAGGCCTGCTATTCTGTATATTTTATTAAAATAGCTGTCAGAGTTCTAGCTTGTATGTTACCCGTACAAATGAATGGCTGGAATAAACACATAGGTGGTTGTTGCAAATAAAACACCTTGGGTGGCAACTCTGGACAGAAAAATTTTGTGTTCGAGACCTAGAAGATGCATGGAGTTTTAGCGTTGGCACACAGAGTAAGAAGGGGTGGTAATGCATTGACTCGTCTCTTTTCTAGGATCTTTTGTATGCTGGTGAACATTCAGATAATATAAATTTCTATGACAGGCTGAAATGCCAGCCTTTCCTAATTAAAACCAATTTGATGACAATTGCGCAGATACATTCTCTTGATTTATTTTTTTAAGAACAATGCATGTCAAGTAATTGGGCCCTTGTATTATACAGCTTTCCCCTACACTGTTATTTACATTCTCACACCAGCACCAATGAGGAAGCCATCAGTTTGACAGAAACTGCAAGCTCAACAATTCAGACCTGTGCCATGTTTACTTGTTCTTTGAATTCTGAAAGCATAATTATGTTTTTGAGTATGTTAGTGAATTCTAGCATGTATTAGTTATTTTACAGTGATTTCAGTAAAGTGGATAACCTAGTGTACCTTATTTAAGCTTCAAATGTTTTCACAGTTAAATCTGATACAGGCAACTTTCACAGTTTGAAAGGTAGTTACTGCTCTCCAATAGCATTGCCTTTTGTCTGCCTCTGTTCTATCTAAAGGACATCACAAATTTCATTAATCAGCCCTGTCTATGGAATGCAGCCTTCATTCTTTACTAAGATTGGCTTCTTTTGCTGTTATGAGTACCAGGAGTTTTAGAAGATGTATAGCCTTCCTAAATAGGATAGATTAACCAGACTATCCGTTCTGGATGGCTTGTATGAAGGATGAAGACTGATGGTCCACAACTCACTTAGGAGGAGAAATGGGTGGATCTTATTCCTTCAATAAATATGGCCCACTTCCCCCCCAAAAACAAATGGCATAAGCAGTACTGGTAGGCAGAGCTACAAATCTGTTTCAAATACTTCAAAACATGAAAGGTGCTGCACCTGTTCTGTACTATTATTAGCTGAAAAAGGCCAAAGGTAGCATGTAAGTACAAGATTAGATAAGCATAAGATGACAAGATTAGATAAGCATAAGATGACAGGATTTAGATTAGACGTTAGGAAGAAGTTCTTTGCTATAGAGGTGGTGAAATACTGGAATAGGTTGTCCAGAGAGGTGGTGGAGGTTCCATCTCTGAAGGCATTCAAGGTCAGGCTTGATGGGGCTCTGAGCAACCTGATCTAGTTAAAATTGTCCCTGCTCACTGCAGGGGGGTTGGACTAGATGTGTTCTAAAGGTCCCTTCCAACCTAAAACATTCTATGATTCTATGATACCAAATACAGACCCTCACATCATAAGCAATTTCAGTTTGTGCTTAGAGAGTTGAATATGTGCTTAGTAACCCCAGGCTGAAACAGGTTTGCTTCTGTTTTTCTCAAAAGTTAGTGAGGTGGCCTTTCCATCTGTGGAGCTGTTATCAGCACTATGACCAATCTCTCCATATACTCATCACACCTGCATTCTGCTTAGCTGCATTTCACTCTTCTTGGGTACAACAGTGTTTTTGTGATACTTAGAATGTCCTTGGAAGTACACCAAACATCACCAAACAGATTTAACAGTATTATTTTTGAGGAATAAAAGCAAATGCTTTTATGAATGAGCTTAAACTAAGCTTTGAAGCAGAAAACAATTTATTTTAGTATTTCTGATAGAAGCCTAGATTTACTTAGGACTTCTAACCAAAGCAATACATTTGCCATATAAAATGTTGTAATAAATTTTGCATCACTTTAACGCTTTAAACACTATCTCAAAGCTGCCCATATTCCTCTGATTATAAATAACTCAGCTTTGTAGTAAAACTATTAGGTTCTCTGATAGATTAATTTCTTTTCTCATAATACTGGTTCTGTAAATGAGAATGGCTGGCTATTCCAGACAAAATGGAAGGCTGTGAAGTACTGAGGTGCCTGAACTTTATCAAAATGAATGACAAAATATTTCAGAAAACCTATTTCCTGAGACAGAAGCTGAAACATTATTTCTAGGAAGCATTTGTCTACTTACTCATTTTAATCATGATGAGAAACTGGCTTCACCTTTACACTGCTGCTTACTTTTTAACATCTTGCTCTCAGCCTAATTCAGGGCCAATATCTTCAGTTCTTGTAGCACCTGAATTGTGTCTGGACAGGACTATTTGGCAGGACTAGCCTCCTAAACAATGCTTCTTGCTTATTTTTCTTAACTTTCACTTTTGACTCATAAATTTATGCATGGCTAGGAAGGTGTGCACTATATAGTACTAAATTGACAGTTTACATGGAGTTATTTCCCAGTCACTTTTCTGAATTACATAAAGTTTTACATAATTACACTTAATGCAGAAAATTAATATTTTTCTGCACATTAGCGGGAACTTTATATCCTTCACTTGACAGCTTGCAATAATAAATATCACCTCCCATTGTAATTTAAAAATTGTAAGGCCAGTCATGGCTTGCTTTCTGAAATGAATTGGCTTACTACAGGTAGTAAAACTGTCAGGTTATGCCCATGTCTAGTATGATGCTAATGTTTTTTCTCTGTGTGAAAATCAAAACAATGAATGCGGCAGCCAAAGTAGATTCCACCATTCAGAGTTTATCTGACATATGCACGTATTTGAAAGGATTTAAGCAAGCCCTGATAAACACACTTGTATCAGTCTAACCAAAACACTGTTTATTTTGTTTTACAGATTTTGGCCATTGTGTCCATTCTGTTCATCGTACTGTCCACTATTGCTTTGTCTCTTAACACACTGCCAGAGCTTCAAGAAATAGATGAATTTGGGCAGCCAAATGACAACCCTCAGCTAGCACATGTTGAAGCTGTGTGTATTGCTTGGTTTACCATGGAGTACCTTTTGCGTTTTCTGTCCTCTCCAAATAAGTGGAAATTCTTCAAAGGCCCATTAAATGTCATTGACTTACTGGCTATCTTGCCATACTATGTCACCATTTTCCTCACGGAGTCCAATAAAAGTGTCCTGCAGTTCCAAAACGTCAGACGTGTGGTTCAGATATTTCGTATTATGAGGATCCTAAGGATTCTAAAGCTCGCCAGACATTCTACAGGCCTTCAGTCTTTAGGTTTTACGCTCAGACGGAGTTACAATGAATTGGGCTTATTGATATTATTTTTAGCTATGGGAATAATGATATTTTCAAGTCTTGTATTCTTTGCTGAAAAGGATGAGGATGCTACAAAGTTTACCAGTATTCCTGCATCATTCTGGTGGGCAACAATCACTATGACCACTGTAGGATACGGTGACATCTATCCTAAGACGTTATTAGGTAAAATAGTTGGAGGACTTTGTTGTATTGCTGGAGTGCTGGTCATAGCCCTGCCCATACCAATTATTGTGAACAATTTCTCAGAGTTTTATAAAGAGCAGAAAAGACAGGAGAAGGCAATTAAGAGGAGAGAAGCACTGGAGCGAGCTAAAAGAAACGGAAGCATTGTCTCCATGAACCTGAAAGATGCCTTTGCTCGCAGTATGGAAATGATAGATGTAGCAGTAGAATCAAGTAAGCCTGGAGAAGCAGCCAATCCAAAGGAGACACCTGATGACAACCACCTGTCCCCAAGCCGGTGGAAATGGGCCAGAAGGACGATGTCTGAAACAAGTTCAAACAAGTCTTATGAGAACAAATACCAAGAAGTTAGTCAACAAGACTCCCACGAGCAATTAAACAACGCCGCAGCATCCTCCAGCCCACAGCACCTCAGTGCCCAGAAACTGGAGATGTTGTATAATGAAATTACTAAAACTCAGTCTCAGCCTAATCTTAATGCTGGCTATCAAGACCAGTCAGCAAAGCCACCTGTGTATGAGGAAGAAATAGAAATGGAAGAAGTTACAGGTCAGAGAGATCCGTTGCCAACTGGACCTACAGACATCGTAACAGATATGAGAAGCACATCTAGTATTGACAGCTTTGCAAGCTGTGCAACTGACTTCACGGAAACAGAGAGATCTCCCCTTTCTCTGTTTCCTGGCTCTCACTTGCAAATGAGATTTCCAACTGATGCTGCTAACCTGGAAGATAACCAAAGAGTCAGAAGTTCTCAGTTTATACCATTCACAAAAGACAGAATATTTTCTCCAACTGATGTCACCTTTGACTACAATCCAGTCGACAGAGCTGCTCTCAGTGATGGCAGTGGGTCCCAAACTGTTCTCCATGGTCATTTGCATTTTGACACTGCCATGGAAAGCCCCAAAAGTTCCCTGAAAGGTAGCAACCCATTAAAATCTAGATCCCTCAAAGTTAATTTTAAAGACAGTAGAGGTGGTGCTCCACACACTCCACCGAGCACTGCAAGGCCACTGCCAGTAACAGCAGACGCAGACTTCACCCAGGCCACCCCTCAGCACATCAGCACCATTCTCCTAGAAGAAAATTCACCCCAAGGTGAACGACCCTTACTTGGTGCTGACGCATCAGCACTTTGTCAGGGAGCAGCTAAAAAATCATCCCCTCTCTTTCCCAAACAAAAGATTTTCACTTTCCCTTCAAAAGAGAGGAGGAGCTTCACTGAAATAGACACTGGAGAAGAAGAAGAGTTTATGGAGTTACACGGTATAAAACATGAAAAACAACAGGATATCAAGACAAATTGCTGTGGGGATAAACACAGTGATGGCAACCATTTGACAGAGGAGCCACAGATCAGCTCTTCACCCAAAAGCATGAGCCACAACTGTACTCAAGACATTTACCATGCTGTGGGTGAAGTAAAGCAAGACAGTAACCAAGAAGGTCACAAAATGGAAAATCATTTATTTGCCCCAGAAATTCACTCAAGTCCAGGAGAAACTGGTTACTGTCCCACACGTGAAACTAGCATGTGACTAGTTACAAAAGCAATAAAAATACCTTTTCTTAAAACACAGTTAGTAATGCCTATGAACTAAAACATGGAAAGCCTCAAAAAAGTGCATAAAATGTTATTTTTGCATGGCATGAAGAGTTGTTTAGTTTAAATACTGTTTAATTAAAAACAAAAAAGACTGCTTTTTTGTAACAAACAAAAAAAATGGGAAAAAAATGACTCAAGAACAGTGAATAAAATAATAAAGAGAGCTCTGTTAGGAGCCCGTGTTCTGCAACATCTGACATTTTTGATCCTTTCTCTTATGATTGTAGACAGATTTTGAACTCTTTTAACTTTTTTTGTTCTCTTGGTTACAATGAATTTTAGAATTTGCACATGAAAGGATGAAATGTCAATGCATGCATTCATAAAGATGTGAATCAAGGTGCTTTGAGCTTGCAAAATGCATATATTTGTAAATAGTTTGGGGTTCGGGGGAAAGCTACTGTTAACAAGGATTTATGGAAAAAGCATTTCCTGGGACACAGGTACTTCCTTCACAGCGTGCTGCCTGGAGGTTTTGTACAGACTTATGTTGCAAAATTGCAACTTCTACTTAAATCGTCTCACGTATCTTGCTTTCTGTTAAAAAGCTCATATCTGTTAATTAATGACTACGGTATTTTAGTTTATCTGTGCTCTAAATCATGATGGTTTTCTTTTTTATTTGCATAACTTTAGTTATTGCATTTGTCAGTTTAATTAATGATCCTGTGAGGAAAAGCAAAGATTTAATGACCAGAACTTGAAGCACTTGATATTTTTATAGAAACTGCCAACATTTCATAACTAAGAAAAAAAAAAGTTCCATTTTAAAATAATAAAAAATAGGGTTATTTATGTGGCAGTAAATAGTGCCAAATGGCTACATAGACATATTCAAAAGTTCTCAATCTCTTAGAATATTTCTTTTAACTTGGTATTAAAAAAATACTACCCACATTCTTTTTTTCCTTTGATTTAGTATTTACTTCTACATGATCTCTGAGCTCTCCTTCCCTTTCCTTTACATGCGGTGCCCATACTTCAATAACGTCAATGTTGTTGAAGTCATTACGGTGTAAGGACATAAGAGACAAGCTTTTTAAGGAGAAATAGTACCTTTTATTGTCACAAATCATACAGCTGGAAAAAACAGGCTTCAAAAAACAGACTTCAAGTACATGTGACTTGCCCCAGGTCTTCCATGCCCCCAAGCTTGTCTGTGTTTTTCAGTTCAGTAATTTGGACTGACAGAACACAATCACCTGACTCATCAGCTTTGCCTCAACCCGCCCTCCCATGGCTGTTCCAACAGGGAGTAGAGGCTTTCCTCTATACTTAAATAAAGTGAAACATCATTCATTCCGTTTGCAACTGCCAAGGCATCTTTGGTTTCTCTGATATTCTCTGGCTTTGTAAAAGAAAGATGCTGAACCAAAGCCTGTGTTACCCATCTAACCACTGTCTGAAAAAAGCTATTGCTTTTTTATCCAGCACAAATCCCTTCTTATGCTATAATATAAAAACCTATAGATCACTTTAATTCCCTAAATCATAAAAGTTTATTCAATTCATTAATCCTAATCATAAGCAAAAATATGCAGCTACATAGGCCTGTCCTACAGAATGTTCCTTTTTCATTTTTTCATTTGTTTTGGGAAAACAGAATACAGGTATTTTTTTGCTGTCCTCTAACTTCTGCTGAAATTGGATACTCCCTTACAACAGTTTTGTAAGAGCACCAGTCCAGCCTTGAAGCTAATAGCCAGAGGGTGCAGCAGTTCAGAGTCTGAGGAGGGATTTAGAAATTCTAGTGTCAGTTCTCTGCTGCTCCATGAGCTTTTTGCCAGAGATTGGGCTTCTCACTTCCCCATGCACAGAAGGGAGTGAATGCTTCTTCCAGGGCAGCGCTGTAACAGCAAGAACTGCAAAGACACTGGGACAGTGAGAATAGAAGTCTTAAAAGCACTTTAGACCAAGCAACTGGAGTTTGTAACAGCAGGCTTCTACTTCCCTTAGTGGGCTTAGATTAATTTTTACTCATGTGTCATTTTCTGTCACTTAAATGAGTGAAAATCAGGCACCCAATATATTTAATGTAAAAGAGTGAGGATTTCTGTTGCAACATTGCCCTCTGCTTGAAACAGCTGACCTGATGCCAAAGACCTCACTCAAGCCAAGCCCATGGAAAACAGGCAAGTTAGAAAAGCCCCAAAATACAGATTCTGGTAGCTGGGCCAGACAATGAGCACAGAATAATCCTTTGGTTTTAAAAAAAAAAATCTTCTGTATTTCCATAATTATTCTGATTTCAATAGCAAGATAGCACTGAGGTGTCTCTTCACAGAATCTTCAGTCATTTGAAAAACTGAGAATATCATGTTATTTTTTCCAAACAATGTCTGGTCATTAATTCTCAAAATAAAATAATTCTTTTTGTCCTTAGTTGCAATTCATTGCAACTTGCTGCATTCAGTTTTACCTATTTATATGACATTCTGCTTAACATTTTTCAATCATGTTGTGTTTCACTGTTCCAGAACGTAGCTCTAGAGTATTTTATAGTCATTAATCTTCTATATTTATTTTTATTTTTTAGTTCCTAGGTATTTTCAGTGACTAAAACTAAATGCCAGTCAATTTTTATATGCATAAAGTGTTGGTCTGTATTTTGTATGTGCAGTTTTATGAAATCACATGGGCCTGTTCGATCTGCCTTTACATTCTAGTGAACCAACGAAGATCAAATTCAGTCCAAATGGGACCTGAACCCATGCTCTGGATCCACAGAAAAATCCCATTCAAGACAATGATGTTGTTCTGGCAAGACTGAGGTCTGTGTTGTGTTCCTTCTGTGTGCTTTTTCTCCCAGGTGACCTTTACACTTTGTAAAAGCCTCCTCAGATCTGTGCCATTTGGCAGGAAGGGAAGAGTCCAGCCATAGGGAATGCATTGCAGGAGCAGAGATTTGATTCCTTAAGCTCTCATAAGCTTAACTTCATGCAAACCTGATTCTGCCCTATTAAAATCATTAACAATTCAACAGTGGTAAAATCAAGCCTCAATTCTTGTGCAGATAAATTTCCCCTGAAACCAGGGGGAGCCCGACAGAAAAAGGGACTGACTGAAATAGAAATGTGGATGGCGGGAGTCTCTCTCTCTTGACAAAAATCAAGAGAAGCTTTAACTATATAAATCAGATGAGAAGACTAGGCCCTTATTGATTGTCATATGTTAAATATTTTCAGAGAAGCACAGTTATTTTGAAATTGTATAAGCGAAAGAAATGCAATTCTCTTTATTAACAGATGTTGTATTTTTCTGAAATCTTGGAAGAAAAAGGATCAAGCTTTAGAAGTGCTTTTGGTATAATTTCATTATATATTTTTGACTATGCCGAATATTATTTCCAGAAGCACAGGTTTAGACATTTGTTTTTTCCAGTCACAACTGAATACACGAGATCCGCTCCTGAGTACCTAGCTCATAATTCCTGATTAAAATATTTACTTGAGCAGTTTCAGGACTGGACCTAAGTTTCATTCCAGTACAGCGGGTGTAAGAAGAGCAGTCCAGGATCACATCGTTCATCAAGAATTGCTATGTAGCAAATTATGCAAAATTACCTGAGTATATTTTTCTGTTTTTCTAAAACTTAGAAGCCATTTCAGACTTATTATCCATTCAGTGCGGTAAGGGGAGGATTGGTTTTGACTTCTGGAGTCAGTCTCCAACAGCTGTTGAATTTCAAAACATCTTAAGGAGTCTTAGGATGAAGTGACTCCCCTGTGTACCTGAAAGGGGTCTGACTCTTTGTATCACTGGAAAATGAAGATTGTTCAGGGAGATAGCTTTGCAATCAATATATTTTTTATATTTTGTACTAACTGCAGAATCCTGAATCAAAGTTTTAATTCCTTTTCAATGATGAAACCAAATGTAAACATTTAGAAGATGTTCACAGAGTAATCTGAAAAATTTTTGAGTAAATAGTCACATTAATCCAAATCGAGGGTGGGGGGACTAATATATCGCACAAACTGCAAAGGAAGTTCATACAGGAAAGCTGTTTACAGGGGAAGCATATAACGTAAAGAATGTAACATGGTGTAGGAAGTTATTGCACTACAGAATTTATACAAAATGCGCTTTTTTAAATAAAAACACAAAAGGCCTTTTAATGCTTCATTTTTTAGAACATAGGAGCCTCTGTGCTAATGCAGCAATCTAATGCACTGTGTCCTCACTTCAAAATTGGTCTCAAAATTCAAACATTAGTGATGTTAGAGAGGTGATACCTGATCTAACACTAGAGCAACAGACTTGAAGCACTTTTTAACACAATATTACATAATCAAAAGTGTGTACAGAAAATTGTATTTTTGCCTAAGTGACAGCTGGCTTCTTGAGTCTTTTCCTAACAGGTAACACTGTTTTTATTTCCTGAAAACTAACTAGTTCTTTTTAAATTAGGTCTCTTTCTTTGACTGAGCTTTTGTATCCTTAGATCTGTTTGAAACAATTTTTACCTTCAAAATATTTAACCCTTACAACCTAATCTCTAAATTGCAGCCCAGTACAAAAGCCAGTTGTCTTTTTCAAGTCCTACTGCAAATACAATCAACCTGGTAAAAATGTCCAAGGCCTACCTGACTGGGTTTTTTCATTCATATAATTTTGGAATCATTTGGGTAGAAAATAGTGTATAACATTTTGATCACAAAGAACATATTTTGAAAAGAAAAAAAATGCAAGAAATACATTTTTTTCAAAGTAGCCAGCACAGATCAAGCAAGAAATGCAAATACAGCAAAGGGGGAAGAAAGGCACAAAACTGTAAGTAAACAAGGCATGTTTTACTATACTATACTGTATAACCAAGAGATATGATAAAACATATATAAAATAGTCCGTGTTCACACTTAATATAGAAAAATGCCAGTAGCAAAAGATTGCAAAAGATTTCATTCCAGTTCTACCCCATCTTATTTTTTT